AACTATTCTTAGAACTTCATTAATTTCTAATTTAATTTCTACATTAAAGGTTCCTCACTTTGCAGATCAGCCATGGTGGGCATCCATTTTAAATTATCATGGTCTCTCTCCGAATGGTGGAATTCAATCTCATTCTGTCACTTCCGATAAACTTTATACAGCTCTTTTCAAAGTACTGACAGATGAAAAAATTCATGAAAACGCACAGTCACTGGGAAGAAAGATTCAAAGAGAGCATTTAAAATCTTCTCCTATATCAAACATTGTTTTATTTATTGAACAATATTGGAATAGAAATAAGTGGGATATTGTTTCTATAGATGATAATGAATCTATTGCTTCTATTGAATCTAAAGAGTATATTGAATCTGAGGGATCTAATGACACTGATGATACCATTGATATTGAAGAGTATGTTAGGACTAGCAATGATAATATTGTTAGGGAGAGAAAGTTTATTGAGCCAGCGTTTGTTAAACCTGATATTATTGCAATAGGATAAGCTATTAGTTTATTTATTTTCATTCTTTTGTAGAAACCATTTGTTTTGTATTGTAGTTTTTCATGTACATGATAGTAACACAATTTTATATTATGAATAATTTGTTTTTAATTGCCATTTTCTTTATTCACTTTTTATTTATTTATTTGAACACGAAAGTATATTCATTCATTTTCATTATTACATTCGTGTGAAGAGTTTTACGTATTTTTACATTATATTTTTTTTACTTGAAAATTTGTAGAAATAATGTCAAACTTTTTTTTGTATAAATTATCTCATCTTTTCTTCTCATTCTCTTCTCATTCTTTAAATGTATAGTTTTTTAAGTAAAGTTTCTGAGAAATCTGAAATATTCAATAAATGAGATAGAAACATTGTTCATAGTTCTAAATTGAAAAATATCAGTATAAAATCGTATGAATAACGAACGATAACTCTTTTAGGCTCAGCCCGAATTGTGCATGCATAGTAAAAATCAGATAAGATGAATAAGCCCAATAACATGTGAATTGTTAAATAAGGAGTAATAAATTAAATACATGTCATTGTGCATTTTGGATACATGTGTTGGCATATTTTAAATTAATTTGGTAAATCGCATTTAAAACTGTTCTTTCATATGATTGCTTTGTAAATCACCTATTTTAACCGAGGAACAGCAATCCAACTGATTGGCTAGTGATCGCTCGTGATAATTAATATCATCTATGCAAGGGGTAGGTAAAGTATGGTGAAAGTGGTACGTACGTACAGTCAACTCTTTCTATGTAAAAAAAAAAAGTTTGTTATAGGAAATTACTATGTTTCCTTAAAGACTCATACGTAGCACTTTCTATACTGAACTATTATGGAATTTTAAAATTTTTTGAGTTCGTTATATCCAGAGTCGATTACAGTCCATAAATTATACTCTATAAATGTAAGCTATGTAAATTCTCTCTAAACGCATGAATAGTTTGGTCCCATTGATGCAAACGGCTCGCCTCATTGACCAGGCCAAGCTGATCTTTCAGCCCTACAAATTGGAGCTGAACCGAGCCGCTAAAGTAGCTAAAGATAATATCACCACCCAAAACTGGTAATGTATTCAATCGGATGCACGAATTCTGATATACTTTTCATTATTATTTTATTAAATACCTTTTTTTAAAAAAACACTGTAAAACTTGAGTCACCTGGACAATTAAATACTGACGATAAGCGTAATTTAAGCCATAATGCTGGATGATTTACTATTGGCAAATAGCCATGTGCTATAGATCTATCGGCTCACAGCTCCACGTTCGACTTCAGGGTCAGTGTTTGCAATCAAAAATTTAAATTACAGTAGTTGCGGACCCGCAATCAATAAAAAAACGACTTGTGGATTATAAAAATTTAATTGTGCACACTACGCAACATTAATCGATTTATAGATAAAACTAGCTCTCAAACCCGGGCGCTGCTCCGGGGGCTTGGTATTAATTTTTTTAATTTTAAGTTTTTTAAAATTTAAAAATTTATATATATT